TTGGGGATGATGTATTGTTTTTCCATCATTAATCGCTTGTTTTTCTTTAAAAAAACACATTGTATTAGTGGTTGAATCCCCATGTTCTAGATACATTCGATCACAGTTTTTCAATTTGTCTTGAACAACCGAAATCTGATAATAGCTTGCATTCAGGTGAGTGCATTATGACATAACTTGCCCAGTACTAGTTGATTCAAAATGTTCGATACATGATTTTTGATATTATATGTATATAATTTAAGCTTCTTAGTTTTTGCTGACACCGCCTCTAACGACCCCAGGCGGTCTGCTGATTTTTGCAACGTTGTCTTGTTACAGGTCATACTTTGCATGTTCTTTTTTTGGTGGTTGTCTTGTCACATGTCATATTTCGCATGTTCATTTGGATGGGGGGATGGGGAGGTGGGGGGGGCTGATAACGTTTTGTCGCCTCTTCTTTTGGCAGGTGCTTTAAACTTTGTCAAACTTCTGTTTTACACGTTTCTGATGCTACGCCTCAAGTCTTTTGTCTTCTAATTATCTCAACACGCTTTGAACACTTTCATGTAACATCCAACGCGCTCTTGGTGCTACGCTCTGAACACTTTCATGTAACATCCAACGCGCTCTTGGTGCTACGCTCTGAACACTTTCATGTAACATCCAACAGGCTTTTGGTGCTGCGCTGTGAACACTTTCATGTAACATCTAACACGCTGTCAACACTTTCATGTAACATGCAACACGTTGGCAAAGACTTGCAAATGAGAAAAAACAATAAACATACATTTTTTCAGCACATGGGAACCGACAAAACACATTTCCACCAATGTAAAATCATCGAAATGATTTCGATGTCATGCGAATACCAATCGATTTGCAAGTCTACCTCTGGTAAACTAACATAACTATTGAAAATCACCATTTTTAATGGGTAAATCCACTATAAATGGTAATTTTCAATAGCTATGTTAGTTTACCAGAGGGTACACAAAATGCTCTGGAAACGAAACCCTGGCAGCGGGGTTGTTTTCAAACAGAGACTTGGCAGCAACAAACTTCGTGGAAAGCGGGGGAAATCAGCGGGCGGCGTGACCTGGTTTTGAATGTGTGTAATATAACCGTGTTCTAAAATAGTACTTTGTGTTCAGAATATATTCTGATATATCTCGTATTATAGTATGTATATAATAATGAAATGTAATATGTAATTTACAGAACTTATTTTGTTTAACATATATACATCTATTGTGCAATACTCATTTTTTAACATATATATACTATAACGTTTTTCAGCATGTATCAGCTTGAATACTGAGTAACTCATAAATAACATTTAACACAGACTATACAATGTTATTTTTAATTATGTTGTTCAATGTTGTTTAGTATTCACTGATTTAATAGAACATATAATATAGAATCTACAATAGTCATGGTTTTAGAATATGTTACATTTACTGCATTATATATATATATCACATATGTTATACATTTTTCTATGTGTTGTATTTTTGAAACAACTATATAACATGTTGTTTTCTCAATGTCATATTTTAAACTTTAAGATTGTAATGGGTATATTTATTTGTAAATAATGTTTTTTTGGTATACACTATGACACTATATTTATTTATTAACATATGTATAAACACACGTTATACACATATACTATCCAAACGATATTCCCACTTTTGTTCGTGAATTTCCGTACGATCCAATCCATGAAACCCGCAGGAATTGCCTCGTGAGATCTTCGAAGTGCCACACATTAGCGAGATGCGTGCCCCACTGTGCTTGGATCGCACAAGGTGCTCCAGATACCCAGTTATATATATATATATAGTCACCCGGAAGTAGATATATAATTATATAATTTTCGAAAGCATTCACATTTTAGTGTTTTTTTTTGACATTTCCATGTTCTATCTACTCCAGGATAGTACATTTATATATTATGTATGGGTTGCACATATATGTATATATATACAATATATACATATGTATATAGAGGCTATAAACCACTGAAGGTTCTGTGATGCACATCCAACTAGTTACTAGTTCGCAAAGTTGCTAAACATACATAAAGCCTAACTAACTCATTGGGCACAACCTAGGGAACCCCAAAATGATTTCAAAATCTAGGCACAGTATAAGATCAATCGGTGATTTGTTCTGTTGCTTTCCGCAATTTTGAAAAATGTTTGTGTTTTTTGATTTGTTCCACAAAAATGTTTTGACCAACTATATGTCCAGGGTTGATTTTGCATTGAAGGACATGTTTGCAAAGGTTTTGCCCTTTGATTTCGTAATGAGGGACAACCAACAAAAGGTCTAGGCACCCTCATTGTACTTACAAAATTCGGGGCAAGACCCTCTCACTGAACTGCAAGGGGGTTATCTTTATTTGTCCGCTGGTAAATCCACTAGCGACTCTAGAGGCCCTTTATGGAAATATGTTACAATGTGGGGCCCCGCCAGTGATGCTTGTTGGTTTATAAACCCCATTAACTATAGTTCTAAGTATAGTAAACCATACTGGAAGTAGTTATCGGAGTTATGTGAACCCCAACTTAGCTACCGACCGGGGGCCCCACATGTTACTGTTCTACACTGCAGGTACGCATGCCTTCCGTGTGCCTCTACCCGGCTCAGCCGAAGTCTTAGAAGTTGACGTGACCTGTAAGTCAACGGAGATCCAAGCCACTTACCCATGAGTTACTTACCCATGGTGATTTAATTGTGATTCAATTGTGATTTCATGGTGATTTAATGGTCATTAATGGCGATTGAATGGTGATTCAATGGGTTTTAATAATGGTGATTTACCCTCTGGTAAACATACAAAAAACTATGAAATTATCCACCATTTTTTTCATTACCATGTTTTAACCATCAAATTTCAGTGTTTTACCATATTTTTATCATCAAAATTTGAGGATTTTAGCTGATTTGATGCTCCGAAATACAGATTGAAGGATAGGGAACAGTGCATGGCAGAGTTGTTTCTTTTGTTCTGCGCGCCAAGAAAAAATGGGGCTTCACCAACGAAGGAAAATATTGTTTTGCCGTGTCAGCTGAACAAAAATAAGGGGTGCATGTCAAGATCTGGAAATTCAGTGAGAGGCTATTCTGGGTAAGTTATAACGACCTCACTGTTCTCCCTCACTGGAATCATGGTTTATTTTAGGGGAATCATCCCCAAATGGCCGAACTATTCAGGTTAGTGAAATATTATAATTTACCCAGATATATCATGTATATATAACATTATATAACATGTACATGCACAGGCATCATATTTCACATATCACATCATACCACTATATCATACAATTCCACGTCTATTGCAATTAGTCCGGATGGACTGCTTTATTGCGGTACCGGTATTACAAACCCATTTTTGTTGAGTGTTTAACGGATTGGTTTAAGATTAAAATCGTCAACATGTTTGTTCTCCTCGCTCAATCCTTGTGATTTCTACAATGTGGTGACCCCCAGTTATAAGTTGGTTTATAAACCCCATTAACTGTAGTTATAAGTATAATAAACCATAGTTATTGGACGCATGTTCACCAACTTAGCTATCGTTTCGGGGCCCCACATTGTATCATTTTCCCTTATATAAACATGTTAAACCAACCCCATTGATTGGATATTTCATCTTTTTCGTGCTTAAATCCCGATTTGTTGGTGTTTCAACCCCCACAACGGTTGATACATCAACTTTCCCCATCTACGCGTTTCGGTTTAAGCCTTACTAAGGGCTACACATGAAGAGAATGGTTAGGCTCCAATATTGCCTTATTAGAGCTTAACAAGCCCCAACAAAGTTTTCACAGATGAAAGTTGTGGTTTCGGGGGGAGTAACTTGAGGGTGAGGAACTTGAGATACCCATGCATATGCGTATATAAAAGTAAATGTACATATGACATTTTGCAAAAAATAGTTAATTAGTTGGCAGAAGTTTTGTACCTGTTGTTGATATTTAGTGTGGACCTAGTGGTGTTTCCTCTTCGTTATCATGCGGCACGCAACTAATTTTTACCAATTCTGAAAGGCAGCGCTTATCACGTTCTGAATGATTTGATGTTGAAGATGTAAGATGTAACACTTAGCTCCTTAAACCTAAGGATGTCTTAGTGAATTTCTGTGCTACCCAGCAATTTTCCTATATGTTTGAGGTTGCGGCTCAATTTTATGTTCATGTTCTATATGTTTTTACAAATATAACTATGGATATACACATATTTTATGTTCATGCATCTCTCTCTCTATATATATATATATGTACTTATTCATATTATATATTGCGTGTTTTCAGAAAGGCCTGTGTCAGCCACACACACAAAACCTAGCAACAAACAACTTTAGAAATCAACAATGTTCTTTTGAAACAACTTTCTTCTTTTGAAACTTCTTTTAATAGTACCCGAAAGTTTAACAACAACTTTTGAAAACAACTTTTTGTTTAAAAACAACTTTTGGAAAGTTTCTGAAAACAACTTTTTATTTAAAAACAACTTTTGGAAAGTTTCTGAAAACAACTTTTTGTTTAAAAACAACTTTTGGAAAGTTTCTGAAAACAACTTTGTATTTAAAAACAATTTTAAGAAAATTGTTAAAACATTTACTTGTATTTCAAAACAACTTGTAGAAAGTTGTTAAAAACTTTTTTTTGGTTAAAACTTCTCTAAATTTGTTCATTTTTTCGCATCCGAAACAATGACAAAACACAAATCACAATGTATTTCTGAACAAACGTTCAAGTTCATATGAAGCAGCCCTTCAAAACAAGCCTGTAACATGCACACCAAAAACAAAAAACACATTGCAACACGCTGTAATAAAGTATGTTTCACAAAAATGTTTGGACCATGATTAATCGCAGTAAGTACACTGTTGGCATGTGCAGCGGAGCGGGTACAGACTGGCCAGCTTGTAGCATGGCAGAATCTCTCTTTGCTGGGCGTTCTTCACTGCAGGGCTCAAGTTTCAACTTAGTTTTGGTTTTGGCATGGCAGCCTTGGGGCTGGATCAAGTCTTGAATTTGGCCCAGCAGTATGGCGCCAGAGATGCGTTGGAGCCAAGAGCACCAGCCGTAGCAGTCGCCGGGGGGGGTCGCAGACCAGGTGGTGGAGGCCTGGGGCGGCACAACCGAGCCCGAGGTGCGGAGGCTAGACAAAGAGGGGCTCGCTGGGCAAGGAAGCAGAAACAACTTGTTTTGCAGAGCAAGTGCTTCAACAAGATCATCGGCTACCAAGCCAACAAGACTTGAGTCGGCAGAGTGTGGCAGGCAAAGGGAAATGGAAGACTTGGACTCCAGAAGCGATCTTGCGCGCAGGCTTTGGGCAGGAAACTGCAACTTATAGGCAGATAGCAAACGAAGTGGAGGGTGCTTCCTGCAGTCAGGCAAGGGCCGCTAGATTTGCGTGCGCTGCCGCAGTGTGCAAGTCTCAGGCAGAGAGCTGTGAGAAAGTGGTGGCAGAGGCTTCAGAGGAACCCCTCAGATTCTTCATTCAAAATTTGATGTTTGACGAGTCAACCTTTGACCTGAGAGTCGGCAAGGATGCCGCCAACAGTTGCTCTGTTCTGTGCTCGCACTCTCAATGGACAATGGGCTTTGCCCCCTCTTTGGAAAGTGCCAGGGACGCCGTCCGGGATGAGCACATCGTCATGGCAGGCCAACTTGCGAGAAAATTGATTTTGCCATGGCAGCAGTATCCTTGGTGTTTATGGCCGCTGGCCTTGAAAGACGCAAGCCAAGAAGACCGCAGGTCATGTGCTAAAGCTTTACTCAACAGTAAGCCTTGCTGTCTGGACAGCGGTTTTTCACAGCGGCTCAAGCGCATACACCGCACAGAAGAAGAACTCTTGAACTCGCAGCTCCAAGTCTTTTTGCAAAAAGTTTTCGAACGTGTTGTGCCAACATCAACTTTCATTGAGCGGCGGTTCGCCCAGTTTGCCCATTGGAGCGACCAGCAGCCCAAGCTTGGCACTTTGGCAGCCAAGCACGTGACTAGTTTCTGCAAGGGCGCTGCCCAGGCTTGGAAACAAAACCACCCGCAGCACCAGAAGCGAAATCATTTGTCTCGTCCTGACTGGGTAGAACAAAAGCAAGGAAGCCGAACCACAGGATACAATGTATTTATGTCTGAGTTCAGGAAGAACTATTCAGCGCAGCAAGTGGCTGGAGATGAAGGGAGGCAAACCTTTGTTCAAGAGGCTAAAGCTGCTTGGAGAAGACTTTCTCCCGGAGAGAAAGCGCCTTACAGTTTCAAGGCGCGTGGGCTGAACAGTCTGCGCAGCAGAAGCTCCCAGATGTCAGACAACGAGGCTGGCCCTGAAGGCCGAGAGACTGGCGGCTTGTGGAACACATGCCTGCTGCAAGACAGATGGCCGCTCCGAGTTGATCTGTTGGAAGCTGCCATGGGGGAAGGGATTGTGGCTTTACGAAAGATCTCATCGGCTTGGGAAGAGGCCAGGTCAACAGAGCCGTTATCCACCATCAATTTTTCTATATTCAATCATCATCAATCATCACTACCGCAACATCAGAAAGACAGGCCGTAGTCATAGTCATAGTCATACTACTGTCTGTTTGCTTTTCCACTCCAACCCAGATTTTTTTGGCTGGCATTGTTCATTTGGAGGAGCATGCAATGCTGGTGGAGGCGGAAGATGATCTGCCAGATGTGAGTGATAACTTGTTTGCTGTGTGCCCGCATGGTGGATGTGAGGAGGAGCTGCAGGCAGCGCAGCGTCCAGTCTTTCGGGAAATCCACGATGACTTGGTCACTGCTGTCCGGGTGATTGAGCCTTTGAAGCGGGACTTGTCTGCTCACCCTTTGGTTTTGGAATGGCACTCATTGTCATTGCAGAAGAGAAGGTTTGCTGTGGTCGCTTTTCACATCCGCAAGCCTCCTTGGGACATGTTCCTTCTTGAGCTGGAGGAAGCCGGGGACTCCGAAGAGCTTCCTTTTTGCTTGGCAGTGCAGCTGGGCAGGCAATCCATTCATTCTGACATTGCATTTTGCCATGAGCTTGCCCGAGCCGCGTCTGACTGGGTCTTGTTTCGCTTGTCCATTGGAGATCTGACCGTGGACTATGGCATTTTCCAAGCCGCAGAGCGCAAGGAACTGAGCCGATCCGAGTTGAGACAAGCTGCTGCTGAAATGAAGCAAGTTATGCTCGCAGCAAAAGCAGCCAAGCTTGCCCAAGGTTTGACCGCAAATAAAAAAAGGAAAAGCAGAAACTCCAACAAACGAAAAAGCAAAGGCAAGCGGTCGCAGACCCTGGCTCCAGATGTTTCGGACATGGAGTGGAATTCTGCCTCTGAAAGCGGGGGCTCCGCTTCTGACTTTGGGGCAGACACCGGCAGTGTTGCAGCGCCTGCTTCTTCGTCCGCTGGACCGGCTCGCAGGGGCTCAGCTTCAGACTTTGCGGCAGACACCAGCAGTGTTGCAGCGCCTGCTTCTTCGTCCGCTGGACCGGCTCGCTCTAAGCGTGTCAAGCAGTCTCGGTCCATTCCCTGGGGTCCATTCCAAATCGCGCCGATTGTTCCGGCCGCTGGCCACAGTGGTTGGGGAGCCATCTGCGGACAGCATTGCGACCGAGGAAACAGTTTGTCTTGCAAGAAAGCTATGAACCGTGGGTCGCTGACCGATGCGGAATGCGTCTTGCGTTTGAAGAGGTGGCTCTTGGCAGGCCATTCAGACCAGAACTGGCCAGTTCACAGGCGACGGTCGCACCATGTAGAGCTGGGTGGCAAAGGTCTGCAAGATTTCGCACAGGGAATGTCTGAGGAAGCTATGGATGCTTTGGTCGCTTCCTGGTTTTGAAGTTCTTTGAGTCATTTGACCGCACTTTCGTTCACCGTTCAAGTTTTCGCAGCCACTGCTTGTCACAATTTGTTTCCAGAGACATTTTACTATTTTTACAGATGCTTAACGTATGTGTATGTTTGTCTATTTATGGAAACAAATGAAACAAAAATGCAATTATATCAAAAAATGTTAAGAACATTTCAAAAGAAGTTTCAATTTCACCGAGAAAGTTTCTGAAAAAAGTTTCGTAGAGAAATCGTAGAGATTTCCTTTTGTGTTTATATTGAGAGCGTAGAGAAATCAAGTTGTTTCGTAGAGAAAATTCGGTGGAAACTTCTTTTGGAAATTGGCAACTTCTTTTTGAAACTTTGCATCATATATCATATATTCTTTTAATTTTGCGGTAGTTACCAATAGATGCTTCCATGCAAACAAGCCATGCTCTCAGGTGATCGCCAAAAGCGCAAAACAACCAGGAGCTGGAGCGCAAAGCAGAGCCGGACGCTGGTCCCTGTGAAAAAGTGCGCTGGCTGCAGGGTTTTGAACCTTGGACTGCCTGCTTGGTGTCAGCGCTGGCGGTGTTTTGCTCTGCTGTGGCCCGAGTTTGTTGTTCTGAAAAGGGTTGTCGAGGGTAAGTGCTGTCAGGCAGCTTGTTTTCCAGCAGGGCTTTTGGTTCAAACCTGAGCAGTTGTTCTTTACTGCGCGTCGCCGTCATGGAGGATGACCTACTCTCCCAAGCAGCTTCCAGTGTTGGGCCCGTGGTGCTGGCTACTTTGGCAGTGTGTTTTACCCTGAGTAAGGCTTGTGTGTGCTGCCTTTGCAATGCCAAAAGCACTGACCCTTCTCCCTTGGTGGGAGGAGAGGAAGATGACCAGTATGGAGGCCGCCGGCCCTGGAACAAGTACCGTAAAGTGCGCCACCCTGGGTCGGACGAGCAGGTCAAAGTCCCAGAAGGGAAACTGTGCATGATTTGCTTCAGCACCTTCAGAGCGCTGGGTCTGAACTACAAGTATCCATCGTATGGTGCGTACTACAAAGAGATCGTCAATGACAACAGCAAGCATACCAGCTTCATAAACTCTATGAAAGAATGGATTAAGCAAAGAAATGAGGATCCCACTGGGCGAATGGACAGGGAAGCAGTGAAGAAGGCCCACACCACTCTGCACAGTGAGACCAAGACTGGTGTCAAACTCAAGGGTCCCAAGAGGGAGTTCGTACTCCTGGAACATTGGGACCCCAAGCTGGACGGTGAGCTGGACGAAGCACACATAGTGGAAGAAACTTGGCAAGGGAAGAAGGTGAAAGGAATCTGGAGGGCCAAAGGACGTGCCGGTGTGCTGGAAGCTTCCGGGTATGAAGACACCAGTTTGGCTGAGCGCACTGAGGAGCACAGTGGATCCGGCCCTTTCGCTGAGCAAGCTTTAGTGACCAAAAAAACTGCGTTGCAGAAGGTGTTTGCGGATGCCGACGAAGAGAGGCAAAAGCACACAGTGGCCGCAGGCCCTGCATCACAGGCAGGCGATGTTCTGGCAACTTTGCAGAAAATGCTGCCAAACTTGAAACTTGCTGGTGGTGGGCAGGCCCTGAGCGCAGACCCAGAAGCAGATGAGGCTAGCCCTTCTGCACTTGTTGACTTGCACAAGGACGAGGACGAAGATGAAGCAGAAGAAGAGGAGGAGGTTTGCCCAGCAGCTCGCCTAGCTGCAACGGTTGGAGGGCCCAAGGCCGCCAAAGCTAAACCGAAGGCAAACCCAAAGGCAACTGCAAAAGCAGCTTCCAGGCCCAGTGTGACAGCTACGCCCAAAGCAGCAGAGGGCCGCAGGCCGGGAGAACAGAGCAACAGTAGTGCTCGCCCAAAAGCAGCTGCCGCCAAGGCCACAGAGGAACCGCAGAAGCGAGACCCTCCAGCTCGACGGTCGCGGAAAGCGATTGAAAGAAAACCTCGCAGAGATGTGCCAGAAGTTGGAGGACACACTGGAGGCAAATCACTTGGAAGTCAACTACAGCTTGCAGCACGCTGATGCAAAGTTGGTGTATTCAAAGAAAACAAAGGCTTTGAATTCCTTACTGAATACTGCAACTAAGCAGATCAAGAAGATTGAGGACAGCGTCAACAAGCACGGCTTGGTTGAAGAGCTGGAGCGGTTCCAAAGCCTTCAGGATGTCATCCAGAAGCTCTTGGACTTGTTCACCAGGCTGAACATAGCCAGCCCAGTTGCCGATGAACTGGCAGAAGCAGTCGAGGCATGTAAATCCTCGCCCTTTAACATCGTGCTTGGCCCAGAGGTGTGGCAGAAGTTGCTCAGCACAAAGTGCTCCCAGTGCTGTTTGTACCAAGACTTCAGTGCTTACTGCAAGCTGTTCCGTTCGTCTGAGGATGAGGCCAGGCGTTTACACATTTGGGCAAAGCTGGCTACAAAGTAGCATGGTTGATGGAGCCTGCTTGGTTTCTGGATTTTTGAAAGACATTTGGTCTTTAGGCAGGCAAATTTGTTTCGGGAGGTTGCCAACCTGTATAAGTTAATAAGTTTCAGTTTAAGTTATAAGTTATAAATCATCATCCAACACCTTTGTTCCCCATGTTCCCCCTCATACTTTCACAGTATGCTTGCTGATACTTTCTGGTAATTTCAAGCCATTCTAAGTGCAAAGATTGTGTCTGCCTTCCAGCCCTCAGGTGAAGGAGCTGCGAATCCGGATGTCTCAGCAAGACTTGGCTCAGCTTGTCGACCTGGAAGTGGAGCAAGCGCTGGCCAACATGCTCCGCAACTTTCCTTCTCAGGATGTTCAGAAAAAGGAAAGCGACTATCGCTGTCAAGTGGTTACTTTTTGCGAGGCCATTGTGGCAGAGCAAGGCCACCCGGATTCTGAGCTTTCAGGCCCATGTGCGAAGGTTGCAAGTATGGTGGTAGACCTGATGTCTCTTGGAGACGTTGTTGCTTTGCAGCGTGGCGCAGAGAAGTTGAAGGAGCTAGGGGCAGATGAGCGCCCGGGATCTGTTGTTGCTTTCTTCACCAAACACAAAGTAGGACAGAGCTTGACCCAGGCTTCAGCCGAAGTCATGGTGGAGGGCGCTGCCCGTGTGAATGTGGAGCAAGCTTTGCAAGAGGCTTCTGCTGCTTTGCAAGTTGTCAAGGAGAAGAGTGTCGCTGGAGAAGAAGAACTGTCCGGCGTTGTCGCGGCCTTTTTTGAGAAGAAGCGGCTCGTTCAGAAGGAGATTGTTGACATGAAGAAGCAAGGCACGCACATGCAGAAAGCAACCACGAGGGCCACGCAAGAGCTGGAGAACATCAGCCAAGAGATGTGGTCTTGGTTGAATTCTGCCCTGAGGCTTGAATTGTTGAACACTTTGTGCGGCGTGCTTGAGAACAGTTCAGCTTTGCTTTCCGCTCAGAAGATTCGGTCGCCGACCCGGTGTCAAAACCCGCTGCCGTGAGTGCTGGAGTAGCAGTCTTGAAGCGCAAACTCAGAGAGCGCAAGTCGCAATGACCAGCTTGGACAGGGGAAAAAAAAAATGGTTTCACGCTTGGGCCCTGGAGGGGGAAGGGTGTCTGATTTTCACACTACTGGGAACGGTTGCATGGTGAGGGCGTTGATTTCAATTGATGTTAGCCAGGAATGAGTAAATCGATTTGAACACGAATTGACGATGTGGTGGCTGATGTTGCTTTGCTGTCCGATTGCAGTGCATTCAAACACAAGTTTGTAGGAAATTCTTTCGAGTAAATAATTTGATGAAACAAGTTTTCAGAAACTTCTTTGATGTAAACGATTTATTGAAAGAAGTTTTCAGAAACTTCTTTTAAATCAATTATTTGCTGAAAGAAGTTTTCAGAAACTTCTTTTTAACTACTTTTAATGATAAAACAAGTTGAAAGAAGTTTCTGAAAACTTCTTTTTAACTCCTTTTAATGATAAAACAAGTTGAAAGAAGTTTCTGAAAACAACTTTACAAAGAAGTTGCAATTTCGCAAAAGAAGTTGGATTGTTTCAAAAGAAGTTGTTAAAAGAAGTTGTAAATTTTGAAGCTCCGTAAACACTACTTTTGGGGTACAGGCCACAGGCCTTCTGAAAACACCCAAATTATATATATATGCATGTATGTGCATGTATGTACTTGTAAATATATATAGACACAGATACATGAACATACATACATACATACATACATACATACATACATACATACATACATACATACATACATACATACATACATACATACATACATACATACATACATATTTAATCACATATTTTGTTTGGTACATGAATGTTGTTTTCTTGCCGGGGTTTCCTGCTTCAGCCCAGGTGCTGGATCGCTTAAACCCAGCAGTGGAGACGCATCACATTGTGGCACGGGTGGCCGGGAAGCCCACAGCTCCTCCGGTCATCCCGGTCCGCTCGGATGGTGCCCCCCAAACAGGATGGTGCCCCCCAAACGTGATGTGAGTGATGGGAAAATGTACAGGAAAACCCTATATTTGATGGTAAGAATCATGGTTTCCTGTAGATTTTCCCTTAAACCAATCCAATTATGTTGGTTATATCTACCATAAACCATAGTCAAGTAATGTGTTCATGTTGGTTTATACAGTTTATACAACAAAAAATGCATCTGAATACTATAGATCTATAGTGTATAGTTAAATATCTACCATAAAACCAACAGGTTCATTCAGCCACTTATCCATATCTCAGTTGAACGCGATTACTTGGCCCATCCTGTAGGTAAAAACAAGTTCCTGTAGTGTAGCCACCATTAAAGTGATTAAAATTACGAAGGGGTATCAGACTTGTGAGATAAACATGACTAGTATCAAACTGTGGGAACAAAAAACACGGAAACTTTTGTAGCGTGGGCTCTTCGTGTCAGGCTGACTTAGGGGATCAACCAACTACTTCAGGATATTCATCCAAGTAGTTATCTGGTTGGTGTATTGGAACATGTTTTATTTTTCCTTCTATGGGAATAATAATCCCAAAGTAGTTATGGGATGTTATGGGTGTTATAACCTGGTTGGTGGTTTCATTTTTGTATTTTCCATTTCATATGGGATGTCATCCTTCCCATTGACGAACTCCAGGAGTCCATCATTTTTCAGAGGGGTAGGGCGAAAAACCACCAACCAGTTATGGGTGTTATAACTTTCCTAAAGCAGCCTCCGGGGTATCTTGGATCTACCCTCTGGTAATTTAACGTAGCTATTGAAAATGACCATTGATAGTGGATTTTCCCATTAAAAATGGTGATTTTCAATAGCTATGTTAAATTACCAGAGGGTAAGTTTCAGGATATTCAACAATCACTCAATTTGGTTAGATGAATATCCTGTGTTTCTATTGGGAAGATGTGAACCCCAATATTTTTCATCCACCGGAAGATATGTTTTCGGTGGTGCCCCAATAATGCGATTACTTGGGGTTCACATAACTCCAATTACTTGGATTTATTATACTTATAACCATGGTTAATATAGACTATAACCTTGGGTTTATTATACTTATAACCTTGGGATTATTATACTTCTAACTATTACTGGTTGGCGGCTTGGAACATTTTTTATTTTCCATTTTTCCATATATTGGGAATTTCATAATCCCAACTGACAGACTTTCATATTTTTCAGAGGAGTAGGTCAACCACCAACCAGTATAAAAATCATCATTTATCAATCATCATTAACCATCATTAACTTGGGTTTATGATACTTATAACTAGTGTTCATATTGGGTTTTTAGACCAAACATCACTGGGGAAGCACTACGGCACCAAGGCATGTGCTGGTGATTCCCTGACGGCATGCGGCTATCCCAAGTACCTGCAGGTGTCGGTGCCAGGGAAATGTTTCAAGCAGGTGATTCTTGGACTATTGGTTGCTGAAAATTCATGCCCCAGGTCTTGATAGTTGTATTTATTTTTGAACCATTCTATAATTATATATATATATAGTAATGTAATTATATAAGAAGCTGGTTTGTTTTGACCAATAACAATGTATCCACATGGCAATACTAGTTGGCTAAGACCCCGAGTATTGAAAGCACCAACCACGCGTCGATTGAGTGCTCCTCATGCAGTGATCGACAAACTGTAAAGTGTTTAAAGATAGTGGGTTGGAAGTCTGAGTACAGTTTGAGTTAAGACCATGAATAGCCACACTTGTCAGATATTTTTATTCCATGATCAGTTCCCAAATGTTCTATGGTTTGGTGTTCAAGTCACAACGTAACTTGCAGTCACCTTTTTTTCTACGGTCTCCGCACCCAGATGGCATTTTTTGGAATCCCCGATCTTTACTGGGAAAACCAATCTTTTTTGCTCTGTTGATTTTCTATGAACCACCAATTTGCGGGTCTGAACATGTTAATAAACCATTGGATTTTGAGGTACCTTACACCTTGTTTTCAAACAAACCTTACAGCGTTACAAGTAAGGTTAATTTCAACCATGTTTTTTTTAAATTTGTTATTTCAACCATGTTCATAAACCATTGGATTTCAACCATAGGTTTTACAAGTTCTTTTCAAACCAGCGTTTTTTTTTCTGCTGTCAGGCCCTCTTCGACAGAGCTGGCATGAATGTCCAGGCACCTGGGTCATCCGTTTAAGAAAGCTATCCAAAACTACAGGCATATATATATATATATGGTTGAATTAACTATGGATTATGGTAGATACAACGGAACAGGTTTCATGGGTGAATCTAAACCAACTTATAACTGGGGGGTCATCATCCTGTAAGTGGTTTATCCTAAAACTAAGATTACCTCCAAAACTCTGAACATTCGGTTTATTTAATTTATTGTTCAAGACTATGTTAGATTATTGTCTGAAAAAATAGTACCTCCAAAATTCAGTGGTTTAAGCTTTAACATTATGTTTCTGATTAAAAGGTATTCAAAGAAGAACCACTTTAAAAGGCTGCCTCATTTCCAGGCAAACACTTATTACTCTAAGTATGCTCGCCCTATTCGCTCAACTGATCAGTGGCTATATCATGCACTTACAATCAAATGTT